TTAATATCTGGCTTGATTAATGTTGCAGAGTATTGGGACGTAGCTTAGGAGGAGGTGATATGATTGCAGATTTGGCAGTGTCGGGATTGTCACGAGTGCCCGTGTTGCTAGGCGTGGCTCTCATCTCCTTGGCTTATTCTACTTGCGGGACTTTGGCACTATGTCTGGCCGGCTTTTTTTATTTCATCAAGGTGAATGTACTCTTAATCATTGCCCCCTCCCCAGATTGTGATCTTTTACGATAGTGTGAGGTTAGTTGTTTTTTTCCCCCTTTTTTTTCCTAAACTGATCCTGAACGAGAAGTATAACTTTGTACATACACCTAAAGAGAGAAAAGTAAGATAGAACTTGTTGCATTTTGCTCTTTTTTTTTTATTTGTAATATAGATTTGAATTGACCCATAACCTTTCCAAAAATAGAACTTCTTTTGTATAGATAACCAGAATAGACATTTAATAAAGTAGAATCAAATTACTAAAAGAAAGAATCATAAACAAAACTCTCTCCAAGGCAACAGTGCTGTATACATTAGCTTCCATTTGCTGTACATTGTAGATAAGCTTCCAGAGAAGAAACACTGCATGGCTTTTTGTCCAGTTGAACATTGCCTTATATCTTGCTCACATTAATTTAGTTTATGTCTGTTTATGCTGAAGTGTGGCTACGAAAGTGATTTAACCCTTGCTTGTGCTGCCAGGTGTTTAAGCTGTACGAAGACTTCATCGAGAAGATTGTCGTGGGGCTGATCCCAGGCACGACTGAGAACAGGTCAAAGACAGACAAGGCCCTCTCACAGCTGAACTTCCACATGACTCTCATGATGATCATCTTCCTTGTGAGTGCTCTCAATGCTCCTGCTTTCATTGTGTGGGGCAAACTGCTCAGGTAGGTAATTTTAGTTTAGCAAGGATACTCTTCTTAATTTTTTTATGTTTTTAGAGAGTGCTTTTATATACATCATGATAAGACATTATGGTATTGAGATTACTGACTGAAAGGATATAGAATTCCAGTTGATATTTTAACTTGCATGCTTTTTTACAGTCATAACTTGCAATTGGTGCAAGATCCAAGCCTATATGTGGCAGTGACGGTCTTGATAGGGCTCTGCTTCCTCTGGCAAAAGAAAGTCCCTCAATGTGATAAGTAGGTTCTTGACTTTTTTACATTATTTGTTATAGTATTGTTTAAAGGGAAAGTTTTTAAATGATTAGATATGATTATTGTAGTTATGATTGTTTTTATAATAATTTCCCCCCCCCCCATGATAATTAAAAAAAAAATTCTCTTGATATATAGGTTCTTTGATTTATTATAAACAGTCTTCTACTGAACTTTAAAGAGCAAATGGCTTAAAGTGATCTCTCTCTATTTCCACTTTAGGAGATTCTACAAACAGCTGGGTTACTTGGTCCACTCCTTAGCTGTGTTGACCCTCCTGTATGGCAGTGTGAATTTGTACCGCGTGTCCTACATCCTATCGGCAGCTATAATCCTTGTTGTGATACACCAGCTTGTGGCTCCAAGGAAACCGCCCCAGAGGGAGAGCCAGGAGGATGAAAGCCCTAGTGAAAGAAGCCGTCCTTTCATGGCACAGGTTGACGAGTCAGAATCCGACGGCACCAATTCTGGCAGCATTACCTCAGATAATGACTCTGGGCCAAGCCAGAGGATTATTTAAGGAGAAGAAGAAGAGAAGAAGAAAAAGACAGGGGAGTGAAGGAATAAGTAGATGATCCGGTAATCAAACTATTCTTGTCTTGTGGTCTTGCCCATTGATAGACACTTCTGGAGGCAAGGAGGGGCAGTCAGTAACTTAAAACACTGGGTAAATTTTTATTGATAAGTCAGATGACAAAGTTACTTTGTACATGAATCTGGAGGCACATGTAAATTGATCATATACACATGTGTTCCAAGATTACTTTCCTCTTCACTGGCTCCCATAACCCACTAACGACGGGTGTCCCACATATTAGACACCCGAAAAAATAAACATTGCTGGGCGTCCCGC